TATCAAATAATGATAAAAAATCTGAAAACATATAAATCCTATATCTGTTTACCCAGGGATAAACCTTATTAAGACTCAGTGGTGTTTGATAGATAAATGTAGGATTACTTTGTAAAACCTTTTTTCTTGACCCTTGTCAATATTCGAATTTTTTAAAATGTTTTTTTAAGTAACAAATCATACTTATAATCAAAACTAAACTCTGTTAAAAATGCAACTCCATTACTTTCCATTTTGTATTTGGTTTAAGCTCCCTCTACTGGCATTTTAATAATTTTAAAATTTGGAGACAATAGAAATTGGAAATCTCTTTATTATAATAATGAGGGATGAAAATCTTCCGTGGTTAACTTGCCAGGTAAAATGCAGATGTACAATATATTATTAATTATAGTATGACAGTGTAACAAAGTTAAATTTGTCAAACCAAATGGTTATATATAATAGGAAGAAATCACTGAGCTATGCAATCCAATTTAAAAAGTACAGCCTCCTTGAATCGCATTTGACTTCTAGTGCCTTCCTATAAAAGGGCTCCACTATTACCTCTTCCAGGATGCTTTTCAACTTCCCAACCTAGTCTACAACCCTAGCAGTTCTGCTGGTGTCTTATCAAAATACTAACAAAACATGAAATTGGTTTATTGAATGGATTTTGAATAGTATAGCTACCCACATTAAGTCTCTTATGCTGTTAATATAAATATTAGCTATTCAAAAAAAGAGAAAATATTGATACTATACACATTGTACAGAGGACAGCCTTCCACAATTAGCTTAGCAATTTTAATAGAGAAATCAAAGTACCATAAATCTTTAGAAAGGAGGTACTTATGCAAAAGTAGATCTAAAGGCTCACACATTTCAAATTCATTTTTACCGTTTCGAGTCTGTGTGATACTTGGGAAAGCCTTGCAATGTCTTCAAGATCCAAATATGACATAATGTACAGAAGCAATGGATCTGGCAGTCGCACCAGGAAATCAAAATCACCTCTGCACAAATTGAAGATATGCTCCAGAGTGCTTGCTCCAAACACAATGGCTATTTGAACTGCAATTTTAGAAAATATAATTAAGTCAGAGAAACTTAAATAGAACTAACAGATATTAAACAGTTTTATTGTTTACAATTTGGACATGGAAACATTGTTGAAAGCCCACTTGAGCTATTGAACTCGTTTGAGATATTCAATGTTACAACAGACTTCCTCAACCTCATCCTAAAATGAGCTGGGATGATTAATTCCATAGTTCTCAGCAAGATGAAGAAACCCACCATGCAACAAGAGTGATTCTTCTGTATTGTTCTCTATTAGGGCTGTATAAAGCATTTGAAAAGGACATATTGTAATATGCATTGCACAAGTGAAGCATTTGTCCTTAAAGTTTTTACCATTTTATTTCAAAATACAGTTTTATCCATATTCATGCAGGTAATAAGGATGTGCGAGTAGCAGAGCTTATCCTGTAGGGGACCCTGTCCATTTTTTGGGAGACTACATGCTCACAAAATCTAGATGACTTTGCAAGACATGACCCAGGCTACCTTATCCAATTCTGGCCACAGGATACCTGAGCAACCTCCAGGACACCATTTAGCCAAAATCCTGGTGGCTTGTAGTAATGTCTTGATGCTTGCCCATTTTCAAAAGCGTACATATCACAGCTGCTAGATGATATTTCACTAGGTAATAAATACAGAGTTTTATTTCTTCACTGCTCTTATAGTCGCACTGGAGATATAAACCTGAGTTCGTACTTATGTTCAGTCTTAGTCACTACCTGTTTTATACCACTGATACTCCTGGTTTCTCTTCAATTTTCTTTTTATTACAGAACTCCTTGGTGAATGAAGGAATTTCCTGGGGTTGACAGACAGGCAGAAGAGCCGAGGTGGCGCAGTGGTTAGGGTGCAGTACTGCAGGCCACTTCAGCTGACTGTTATCTGCAGTTCAGTGG